GGTATGCTCGCGAGTCAAGGATCACCCTTCTGGTCATTTCCCCTCTCTGCGAGCATCCATATATATAAAGGGTGGCCACTATTTGTAGTGCTTTGATAGAATACAATCAGAGAGCATAAATGCAGTGATACGGTTGTGGCTTTTCATATCCACAATCAGCTCTTTATATAGTAGGGTGTGAAATCCACCTGGGTTAAGGCTCCTATACTATCAGAGCTGACCTATCAAGCAATAATGGAGCAAACAAGTTCGCAAGTTAACGTTATGTTAGTATTAGTTATGTTATTAAAGAGATGCCAACTGCGCTGGACACGCCAAAATAATTTAAAAAACGGTAAATAGCTACAAAGTAAATTTTGCAAATAGTTGACAATATTTGCTTTGCTTTTAAAAATGTAAAGCATGTCATAATTACTATAAAGTTGTGAATTATAGAAGCCTACGCATTGTTTACAATTAGTGGTGGATTAAAATCTACTAAATCGAGCTTAATAAACCAAGAATTACAATTAATAAACTACCACTTGAAAATATTTATTCGCTGTGCTTATGTTAGCTCTTTGCTCCAAAAATAAATGATAAGTCGGCCTGTCTAATTCAGGGGCTCTAACCTGGGTATATGATGGCCACCTGGCTATCACATACCTTCCAACTGCTACGGAATTTCTGTAGTTTCAGAAATCTTCTTTTCAGACGGTAGCAAAATTAATGTCTTAATATTTAAAAAAAATTAATTTTAGCGTAACTTGTACACTATTACTTATAAAAGTGCAGGCCATAGGGCTAGATACTTAAGTTCTGATAAAAGTTTTATGAGAGATCCATTTGCTTTAAAAATTTCTACTTTGGTTCGCTACCACTAGAAAGAATTATTTTCAAAATCCTCATAAGTTGGAGGGTATGCTATCTTAATGGTAACGCATATTAATATATATGCTTAATTCTTTTAGGAATAGTGGTGATGAAAATCCTTTAAAAATTTAGTTTATAAAAGAAAAAATAGTATATATTTACTACCACTTTAAATATAAAAAACAATTTACGCCAAATGCGTAAAAGTTGGCAGGTATGCATTTCTATAACATCAAGATGCAAGTTATTATTTAAATAGCGTTGAAGACAAAAAAGGGCGTGGTTAAGTGTGATGTCAGTTCTGTCCACCACTTTTTGCCCACCCCGGTATAATGGTAGTGAGGAGAAAAAAAATTCTAAATTCTAATCACTTTTCAGATTTTTATTCCTTTTAGAATAAATGACGGATTTGCCAAAGAACAATCGGACATTGTCTGAGGTCACTTAGGGCTCTTTACTAATACGTTGGCATAGCATAAATCTGTAACTTGGAGTCTGAGGTCACTTACGACTCTTTATACATACATCGGCATTAGCATAAATCTGTTGCTTGTAGTCTGAGTTTATCTAAGGCTTTTTACTCATACTTTTTCATTAGCATAAATCGTAACTCTGAGATCATTTAAAGCTCCTTAAGGTGTCTGAGATCATTTACGACTTTTTATCTATTAATCGTTGATAAATGGGACACTGTGTGAAGTCTGTGGGACAGGATGGAAAGTAAGTTGAACTTATTGAAGAGAACATTTCAGTTCAGCTAAATGTCTTTAAAGTATAATAATATCTGTATTAATCGAAATGATGCAGCTGAACATATGATGATCAACAATTTGTTACAGACGAGAAAATTTTTAATTATATGCATTGTACCCAGCGATGCCAACTTGCTCCGTTTTGCAAAAATATATTTTCTAGTGGTAACGAAGTTTAATTAATATTTAGTTTTGTATTTTTAATCTTTAATAATTTTTTCACCACTACGCATCAGAAATTTAAAGTGTCATATAAAATACAAATTTGTTGCATATTTCACAAGCCACCATTCTGCCTGCTTCACTGGCTGCAGTGAGCGACCAAAGAAATCAACGGGAAAAAGGTTACTAGACTTCTCCACGTCTTTAAAGAGATGCAAGAGCTCCTTCAAAACGCCGAACTAGTGACGATGCTGCAATCACTCCTGTCCGGAGCCCAAGCCTAATCCAACATCCAGGACTAAGCCTTTTCCACGAGCCGATCACAGCTTGCTTCAAATTTTACTTAATGGGATCTCCCCATCTGAATGATCATCTAACCACAATTCATTCTCTACTCCAATGACGACCTGGAACTCTAACAAATGACTTCCTAGCATATGCCATTCTAGTGTAGACGAATCGGTCAGTGCCTCTTCGAGCCGAGATAACCCCAATATCCAATCCAATCCAATATCCAATGCATATTTTACGTGGTGACACTTTTAAAGAGTGGGCGTAATTATCTTGATTTCACAAGTTTTACTATTTAATTTGCCACCAATTTATTAAAACTTTTGCAAAAAGCGGAGCAGTTGGCATCCTTGTATACCTACTATTTACAGGTAAATGTTATTTGTTTTGGCAAGAGGGGGAATACCTACAATACCGGCGAACAACTGTTCTTTGGTGAATTTTTTTGTTTGTAGATGTCGTATGATTTATTTTTCTTCTTAAATTTCTTTTTTCTTCAAATTTGCACATCAATTCTATTTTTATTTGATTTCTTTTCGTTTGGTAACGATAAAAAAAACATACTATTTTTCAAAAACTCTAAAATTTTGGTTCAATTTTAATTCTTATTTAAAATAACTACTGCCCAATTATTGAATTCCAATACAAAATTCATGTGTTTGAAGGATTAGTTTAACCCATGATTAATGAGTGTGTCTAATAGTTAGAACTTAATAAGCACTTCGTATGCCCTTTTTAGGTGGAACGAGTAGTTTTTTGACCCATGATTAAGATTACAAAAATTTATTCAATCATATAGTAATTTCACAAAGTAATATTCTACTTTGATTTGGTGTTATTGGTTTGCCTACACATAACTTTAGTATACGTTTTTAAATGTGTAGTTAGTTATTCGTAAAGTTATTGGCTAATAAAAGAATGGCTCATTATTGGTAAATATAAAAGCACATATCTAAAAATTGCATAACACTTCAAACAAAGAATACAAATTGTTTATAAAAAATATGATACCTATGTACTTTCTTTGAGGCTGGAATTGAATNATTTGGTGTTATTGGTTTGCCTACACATAACTTTAGTATACGTTTTTAAATGTGTAGTTATTCGTAAAGTTATTGGCTAATAAAAGAATGGTTCATTATTGGTAATTATAAAAGCACATATCTAAAAATTGCATAACACTTCAAACTAACTATTAAAAAAAGTATACAAATTGTTTATAAAAAATATGATACCTATGTACTTTCTTTGAGGCTGGAATTGAATAAGTTGAGGCTGATAGATATTTCTTTTAAGTCTTAAGTTCTCTATGAGACTTATATCTGATTTAATTTTTTCATCTACTTCATCATCCTCATGTTCAGGGTCGTTTTCTGTGCTGTCTTCTGAGTATCCTTTTTGAAAGCGTTTCCCTCTCGTAGCATGAAAAGCCCTTTTCACTGATTCCCAGTCGTATTGGCGTCTGCTTTTTGACGCGGCTGCTTTAATGGAGTTGATGAAGAGGTCTCTGTTACCAAACGGTCTAGAAATCAAAGCTGAGCCAATTCCAGCCGGCATAAAGAAAGGGTAAGAATGGTAATAATAATTTGCCTGATCCATGTCAGATGTCCAGCGACGTCCACGCATGGGCATGAAGGCATACCCTCGCTTTCCAATTCCGTATTCATTTGAATCTAAATCGAAGAAATCATTGGTATCATTTACGTTTGAAGTACGCCTTCCTCTCATCGGCATAAATGCGTATACTCTCTTTTTATGTTCATCAGAATTGTCACTTAATAATCTCCTTCCTCGCATGGGTGTGAAAGAATATCTTTTTTTCTAGATCATCTAAGCTTTGCGTGTCATCAAAACCGAAATTTGAGATTGAGCGACGACCCCTCATCGGCATGAAAGAGGACGCCCTCTTGTGATCGTTATAATCCGCTATATCCAAAGCACGTCGACCTCTCATTGGCATGAATGATGATGCTCTTTTTTCTCCATTCTCATTAAAATCTAGATCATCCAACGTTCTTCGCCCTCTCATTGGCATGAATGACGAGGCTCTTTTTTCTCCATCCTCAATATTGTCTAGATTATCTAACGTTCTTCTCCCTCTCATTGGCATGAATGATGAGGCTCTTTTTTTCCATCCTCAATATTGTCTAGACTATCTGACATTCTTCTCCCTCTCATTGGCATGAATGATGAAGCTCTTTTTTCTCCATCCTCAATATTGTCTAGACTACCTGACGTTCTTCTCCCTCTCATTGGCATGAAAGATGAAGCTCTTTTATCATCGTTCTCCGTGTTATCTGCGATTTCTAAGGTTCTTCGTCCTCTCATAGGCATAAAAGATGAAGCTCTTTTATCATCTAAGTCAGCAAAATGAGAGATATCATCGGAATCCTTTTTGCCTCTCATTGGCATGAACGACATTTTACGCTTGTCCTCGAATATGTCTGGTTGTAAAGGATCAAAATATTTATAAAACTGATCTTGCTTTCTTCCTCTCATTGGCATGAAAGAAGACGCTCGCTTACCCTCTTCAGTTATAGAAGGCATTCCACCCGAACTATCTAGCAATATATCAGAGTTATCTTTTCCAGCTTGATTCGAATCGATGGCATTTTTTAGCGTACCTCCCGGCATGAAAGAATAGGCCTCATAGGCATGAAAGAATAGGCCTTTTTTTCAAGCAAAGTGGTAACGATGCGTTCAGGAAAATCACTGTCAGGTTTATCGTCTGAATTGGACAAAAGTCTTCTTCCCCTAATAGGTATAAAAAAATGCTTCTTTTGTTTCGCAATTGTTCTTTTTGTGTCTCATTGATTCCTGAAACGTTTTCATAGGTTTTTCTACCACGAACAGGTAAAAATGAAGACATTCTTTTAACTTCTGTCCTGTTACTACCACTACTGGAGGGAAGCGTTATATCTGTCTTAATATTATCATACGTACCGGATTTTCCAAAATGCTGATATGTGTCCGAACTGGCATCAATCCTCTTTTTCCCTCGCATGGGCATGAAAGAGGATGCTCTTTTATCTTGGCTGTTCTCTTCCTCAGAAAAGTCATCCCATTCATCATTTTTTCTTCCCCTCATTGGCATAAAATAACTCGCTCTTTTCAAATCAAAGGGAATTTTTTTCCCTCTCAAGGGAAAAAACTGACTACGTTTGTCTTCAGGATCGGGCAAAAACTGATAATGGTCTGCAATATTTGCTTCATTATTAGGAATTTTTTTCCCTCTCAGGGGAAAAAAAGAACTACTTCGTTTGTCATCTTCATCTTGTTCTAAAAGATGTGATAAAGAAGAAACAAACTTAGTCCTTGGATCAGTAGAATCGTCAATTATTGCCTGCAATAATGAAAAAAAAGGGATTTATGTAAAAAAAACTATATTTTTTTTGTCATGAAGAAACATTGTAATACAATTGGGAACAAAAAATAGATCTAAAACTAAATAAAATATAAAAATAAATAGAACTAATTAAATAAATAATAAATAATTAAAAGAGGATTTAGCATCGAGATCTTTTTACATTTTCAGTCGTCTGCGGCATCCCTCAATTTTGGAACACAATTTGATTATTTGTAACATTATTTTGAATGTCTAGTTTCTATTATAAATATACACCGAAGAGCCAATACATTATAATCACCCTGCTAATAACATGTAGGACCATCTTTAGCCCTCAAAACTGCTAACACCCGCCGTGGCATTGATTCCACAAGGTGCTGATAGGTAGTCTGAGGTATCTGGTACCAAGCGCTCTCCAACTGGTCCTGCAATTCCCTCACATTGCGAGGGAGTAGCGTGGCAGCACGAATTTGGTTTTCCAAGTAGGACCACAAATGCTCTATTGGATTAAGGTAAGATGAATTTGATGGCCAAGACATGACTTGAAAGTCAATGGAATGTTCCTCGAACCAATCCATGACGATTCGACCTTTATGACATGGTGCATTATCCTGTTGGTAAACATCATCCCCCGCAGGAAAAACTGTTGCCATGAATAGGCGAACCTGGTCTGCAACTATGCTCAAGTAGCTTACAGATGTCAAGGAGTGTTCTATGAGGATTATGGGTCCTAATGTGCCCCATGAAAACATTGTTCCTGGGCGAGAAAAAATTAAAACCTGGGTGAGCCCATTGCTATAGATGGAGAGTGGTCATAATGTAATGAGTCTTCGGTGTATAACACTTAAATTACCTAGGCAATAGCATTTTATCTTTAGGCAATATTATCGAATTTTTAGGACAATGTATTCCAAAAATCCTTTATTTTCTAAAAATCCTAAACATTTTTGTTGAAAAGTTTTAACCCATTTTAACCTTTCGACCGTTTTTAAAGTGGAAGCAGTTCGATTGTTTTAATGGTTTAGTTTAATTAAACCAGAGAGTTATACTTTTATTTGAATTCAACATCCGGCATTTTTTCCGTTATATTTTTTTCATATATATCAGGCTGGCTATATCAGCCTAGCAGAAGCTGCGGAAAACCACCGGGGATTGTGCTTACCGGCAATGCACATGCATTGCCATTGTTTATTTCATGTTTTTTTTTAAATTTTATATTGCAGTGATGACAATTCGTAAGGATTATACAGAATATTTAAAAAAAAAAAAAAAGAAGCGGTAGTGAACTACAAACAAAAAATTGCAGATTTTCGGTTAATTTTGCCAACTATTTATAGGCTGAAATAATATTTAAGACATTATTAACCCTTTTCACTCGAGAGGTGATTGTCTGTCACCACTGTCGCCTGTAAATTACCAACTACTCCAAATGTGAAATTTTTTTCACCTTAATATTTAGTTACCACTTCATTCAGTGATCTCCGGGCATTATAAGGTAAGTTCGTAAAAAAACTTTCAAAATGTTAGTGGTTGCGACCATTTTTGTTCCATTTCAAACTTTTTTTTAACTTCGAGTGCTAAGAGAATTATTGAATTATTTAGAAGAACCTTTAAATTATTTAGAAGTGGTGCTAAGTAAATACCCTGTAAATCGAATTTACTGAACGAAGAATCATACATTTACAGACTATCATCAGGGCTGAAAGTCCATATCATACCTGCAAACTTTCACTCCTTCCGAGAATGGATTTTCAGAGTGGTTGTAAAACAACAACCGAAAATCAATCTGATTCAAAAATATATTTATATTTTGATTCCGTTGAAAATTGCTTGCGTAAAGATTATTATGCTTTCATATATTTATTGCATACCTGCCAACTTTTAATCCCTTCCATTATTATTTTTCCCAGTGGTATGAAAATGGGATTAAAACTTCAAATTTAAGCAAACAAATACGTTGCATTTGAGAAAACTTAAGTTGACAACCATGACAGTAAAGCATATTAATATATGTGCTTAATTTTTGTAAGAATAGTGGTGATCAATATCATTTAAAAATTAAGATTATAAAAGAAAAAATAGTATATAATTACTACCACTTTAAATATAAAAATAAAATCTTCCGGAAAATCCGGAAGAGTTCGCAGGTATGTTATTGTAATTATTTATATGTAGTGGTGGTCAGACTCATCTATAATTATCATTATTATTCAAAAAGTTAATTGGAATAACCTGAGTATTGCTACCACTTTAATTAGGAAAATAAAATCTTCCGGAAAATCCGGAAGAGTTGACAGGTATGCCATATATATATCAAGACGGAAAAGAGTAAAAACTGGTGACAAATAAATTAAATTTTTTAAGCTTTTTTTTTCGGTAATAATAAAAATCCATAACTACCAATTGTTTTTAACGGATGCAATTTACATATTGAATTGCTTCATCGTCGTGTTATAAATAATTACAGTGAATTGTTTATTGTTGAAAATAGATTATCTCCTCCAGAATATTATCTAATATTGAAATAGTTCTCCTACCAGTACGTTCTCTTTTCCGTCTTCGCTTTCAGGCCTGACTATCATTCGAAAATTTTTATCCTCTGTCTGACGTAAGTTGGCACCAATGTTAAGGTTTGTGCCGTCCATATACCTAGCCAAGTCAGATCAATGCCTCCTATAACTGAAAGCCTCCACTCGGTTTCTCATAGGTAGTCTGATCAGACCACTATAAAGGTAAGCCAAGTTATGAAAGAGCCATTAAGTAAAAAATCTAGTATAAGTAAGAAAATGGTAGCAAATATATGTCTAAAAATTTGTTTAATTTATGAATATTATTGGTATGTCTTATTTACTTATCAACCACCACAGATTCAATTCACAAATATATATGACAAATTTCTCTCAATTACTTTTTTAAAATAAAATTTGGGTTCATGTGCACAACTAATTCACTTCTTAAATATTCTGCTCAGACTACTAATAAAATACCGTATGGAGGCTTTCTGATGTAAGAGGTGATGGTCAGATCCAATGAGTCATTGAAAGCTTACCAGGGCTGGTACACAGAATAAAATTACCTAGGATGCTCGATGTATTATCCAATGATCTACCATCTATCTCTTGTACTGGTTATATTAATTAATTTTTTACATACCACGGTATAATGGTATTTTAGATTACATTCGAAATACGTTTTTAAATGATATTTTAATGTTTATAAAAATTATTTGAGGATTTTTTTTATTCTGTTGCAGCTATTAACATATTTAAAAGAATGTGATTTAACTTTTTCAATGGAATAAAAAAAAAAATTCTTTCCTTACCTGACTCTTAGTTAGCACTGGATATTCGTCATCTGAAACTGCTTCCACTAATCGGCTTTGCTCACTTGTTAAATAAGAAAAAAGAAGCAGCAGCAAGCTCTTCCTAAAGCCTCCTCGCTTGGAGTTATCCATACGGAGGAGAAAACTCTTAAATTTATTCCCCTGAAGAAAGAAAAAAACATAATTATGAATTTTCACAAATATGTAGTGCATGTTCAAGCATTCGTGGGGGTAAAATATTATCCTTGCATTTTTTATGTTTAAATTGACATTTAAAAGAAGAAAAATTTTTTTTATCGTTTCTAGGAGTTTTTTGAAACTATAAAGTCTCAAAAATCATAGTGACCGTGCTCCCACAAATACCTAGAAATTTTAAAGTGAAAGCAAATAATAAAAAAAATTAAAATTTTGTACTCGCATTTAGGACACTAACTACATATTTCAAATTATCTAAGGACGCTTCGAATACGAACCCTGAATTCTCTTTGATTTGCTTCACTAAATTTTTTTGATTAAAAACTTAAGGTACAAAAAAAAAATTAAATTATAAGTATTAAATTAAGTGATACCTTTGGTAACTCAGACTGCGTGCTCCCGGCTTCTGCGGAAAACAGTGTAGGTACCCGTATTCTGTAGAATTTATAAACATTCATTAAGTGATTTTAGTTTCTAAACTAAAAACAGTCTATTTTCAATTCTTTCTAATAGGTTAATTGCATTTAAAGCAATAATTACGTCGAAAAAAAAGTAAATTTCTAAATATTCATAACATAAATTGCTGTATATGAAGAGTTATTGTTGAATATGGAAGAAAGGCAAATTATGGACAATGAAGAGTAACGCCTACTCTGTAATAGTTTCTCTTTACACTTAACAGTTTTTATGCAATTCAATAATGTATTCCTAACCAGGTTATTTTTAAAATTTACAAGAGTGTACAGCTTAATAGATAACAGTACAATTTAATTGATTAACGGTCAGCAATTTGGTGCCATTTTTATATATATATATATATATATATCTCAAGAAT